GGACACACCCACCTGCCTGACAATGGGTTTTACCTGCCCTGGGCAGTCGGGCAATAGGATTTGTCGAACCCTGCTTTGGACCACTGAGCAACAGTCCAGTGCTGCTTCTCTGTAGCCCAGGTCAGGCGGATCTGCTGCTGTTTCTGGTTCAAAAGTGGCTTGACCTGGGGAATGAGGCACCTGTAGCCCATTTCCTGCACACGCCTGTGCACGGTGGCTCTGGAAGTTTCTACTCCAGACTCAGTCCACTGCTTCTGCAGGTCCCCCAAGGTCTGGAATCAGTCCTTCTTCACAATCTTCCTCAGGGTCCGGTCACCTCTTCTCATTGTGCAGCGTTTTCTGCCACACTGTTTCCTTCCCACAGACTTGTGCCTTGAGGTGAGGTGCCTTGATACAGCACTCTGGGAACAGCCTATTGGTTCAGAAATGTCTTTCTGTGTCTTACCCTCTTGCTTGAGGGTGTCAATGATGGCCTTCTGGACAGCAGTCAGGTCAGCAGTCTGACCCATGATTGTGGTTTTGAGTAATGAAGCAGACTGGGAGTTTTTAAAAGCCTCAGAAATCTTTTGCAGGTGTTTAGAGTTAATTTGTTGATCCAGATGATTAGGTTAATAAGTCGTTTAGAGAACCTTTTCATGATATGCTAATTTTTTGAGATAGGGATTTTTGGTTTTTCTTTACCTTTTTGCCAAAATTGTCAATATTAAAACAATAAAAGGCTTGAACTACTTCAGTTGGTATGCAATGAATCTAAAATATATGAAAGTTTAATGTTTATCAGTACATTACAGAAAGTAATGAACTTTATCACAAAATGCTAATTTTTTGAGAAGGACCTGTGAATCATCAGAAAGTTTGTTTTAGATTTTTTTAGGAAACAATTTGACTTTTTATTCAATAATGTCTTACCTCTAGGAAAGTATCTTCTGTTGTTTTTCCATGGACGATTGGAAAAGGTTTCCGACCATCTAGGTATATTTATAAAAACAATAGTTTGTTAACGTTTAAAGGCTTGCTTTTGTCTTTCACAGCTAAATATGATATCCATAAACATGGTGAGAAATGGTAGCAAATATGTTCAGTCTAGTGTTAACTCACCCAGTTCATGCAACTGTCCTCCCACATTAACAAAAGCTATAAAATGAAGATTCACTTTTTCATCTAAACTTGGAGCCTGCATCAGAAAAGCAAACATACAGCAGCTCAGTTACTTTTAATTGATTCATGCTTATTACGTTTGCTACTAATTAATCAAATGTTACTGCAGAAATATAAAAAACACAAACCTCAGTTTGTCCTTCCTGCGCACTGGATTCATGTGTGACACGTATACTCTGAGGAGGAAGGTGGTTTTTAACACTTGTTACTACACATACTTTAGTTTAGTCAAGACAACCTATATATTATTATTAGTCATTTGATCACACTTTCATTGTGAAGTATCCATCATACAAATAAAACTCTGATTGTTGTTCATCACATGTATATTATTTAACCAGTTTGCCACTGCTGCATCGATTGTCTTACCTCATCGTTTTCCAGGTAGGCAGCTCTTTCATCTGGAGTCATTTTAGATGTTTGTTCAAGAAACTTCTTAAGAGGAGAATTAGGTTCTGGAGAGAAACAACAGAAACCGTAAAAACCCTCCAACCTACACACAACTGCCTCTGAGTTACAACTAAACTGTGTTTACAGCMTATGATCTTATACAGCTGTTCCACAATTAGAATAATTAGAATCATGACAAATCAAGTCTTTCACCTCACTGTGGAGCTGTTCTGACCCACTTTTTTGTTATTTCTAATGTTGCTCAAGTCTACTGAGGTTTGCAGGCAGCAAGGCAAGGCAAGGCAAAGCCATATTGTTRGGGGTAAATTTAGGTCAGCACATCAATGAAATTCTGATTATTATTGACAACCATTATTCTGATTTGATAGAAATTATTGTCAGTAAAAATGATCATATTATGCAAAAACATGTTGCCAAGGTATGAAGATACATGTCTGCAATGAATGATGTTTCTGACAGTCAGAAGCTAACCAATAAAAAACTAAGATTTCTATGATGTTCTACACAGAAATCCACCCATGATAAATTGTTTTCATTGACAGCCCACCCCTTCCAATCCATGTCGCACTCACACCACAGTGATCAATCTTCCGAAGCATCTGTGACGTCTCTATTCAATACACAACATTGTGTGCAGGGATTTGTATATGCACTGCTTATTTAAAATTTTGGCACAGCTGGGTAGATCTGGGCCCGTATTTATCAAACTTCTTAGACTGGAACTTTAGACGTAAGTGCTGAGAATTTCTTAAATTTATTCCAACTTTCAGACTGGGGGGCGGCTGTGTGTTTAAGTGGTTTGTTTCCCTGCTATTCAGTCAAATGTCAATGTGTCCCTGGGCAACACATTGAAACCCCACTGCCTCTGATGTGTCCCATCAGTGCATGAATGGYATTTAAAGCACTGATTAGTCTCCATAGGATGATTTGTATGCTAGCATTATAGAGATCTATTAGAGTACTAGATGAATGTGTGTGTGAATGGGTAAATGAGGGCACAGATTGTAATGTAAAGCGCTTTGAGTATCCTGGTTGGATAGAAAGGTGCTATTTAACTACAATCTACAGTATTTACCATTTACTTAAGCATTGATGCCAGTTATCAAAATTCTTAAGAATCACTTTTACATGTTAACTGTGTGACCTCATTAACTTCCACACTTCAATCAGAGCACTTCGGTCATCCAACCAGTTTCTCTTAGATGTTCCTTGATCTAGACTAAAGTTTAGAGGTGTTCAGATCTTTGCAGTTTCTGCCCCAAACCTTTGGAATGGCTTACCTCTTAGCATTTGGACTGCTGAGACTGTTGAGACTTTTAAATCTTTGCTTAAAACTCATTTTTACTCATTGGCATGTAACTCTGGTAGAGTTTGAGATTCTTTTTAAAGCCAATGTTTCCTATGTTCTATTTCTCTATTTTATATTTATCTTATTTTTATTATTTTTATATTTTTTGTGTTGCTTTGTTGTTTTATTAATTTTTGGCTGAATTGTGAAGCACTTTGGTCAACTCCTGCTGTTTTTATGTGCTATATAAATAAATAGACATGGACATAGACATTACTCTCCTGGATTTTTAAGACTGCTCCATAGGTCTATGAATTGGTTAAGAGTTACCACTAGGGGTCTGAGACGAACTGAGACAACAAAAGATGCCAGCTGTCCTCCTCGAGTGTATAATGACTAAGCAGTGTGTTTGTGTGTATAGCATCTGAGTGTGTATGAAGAAGGCGCTCTCTGCGGGCAGTTTAGTGGAGAGACGAGGAGGAGGAGGATGCAAACTCAACATTTTCTCAAGCTCTGAGACCTAAAAACAATTTGAAGTTGAGTTTTGAAAAAAAAAATTGAAAAGATTTTCTCTTGACGTTTGTATTCATACAGAATGAGGAAAACCTGTGTAATTTATGGACAATCCATTGAATAAGTCATGTATAACATTGTTGTGTTGAATGTAAATTTAGATTAGGACTTTCACAATTTTATCCTGACATTACCCACAGAGAATATTCTTGAACATGGAATCGATGCAGTGATTGGTTCTTACCTGGGGTTTTCTAAACGCACCATCCAGGATCAGCTTTGTGTTACAGCAACGTGTCGTAAATTAGCTCTAAGACTTACACCTAAGATTTAGTCCCACACTTTGCTTAATGTGAAATTGAAACGCTTGATGACTGACTTTTAAGCTCAGCTTACACTTATGTCCATTCTTAACAGCCAATCAACAATTTTGTCCACATGTGTACATCCATTTCAGATAATATTCAACTCTGGAAACATGAGTCATGTTTTCAGAGAGAAATCACTTCCTGCTGGTTATTCTTCCAAACCAACTATGCTTTTCACATTCATTTGAAATTTCTTGTCWAATCTAATTTATACCTCCTCTTATTTTCAGTTTTAAAAATACTCACCAAACTCCAAGTGTTTCTGGTTGTTTGCCACTGCATGAATCAATCCTATTGTTCCACAAGCATTTCCAATAGTTTGCTTGATGAAGTAGACATCAGGTGAGACTTGCTGTCCCTGGCCTTTGAGCGTCTCCTCCTCTTCTAGCTTGAATGCCTCATACTGAGCAGTACAAATAGCAATACGTTTGTTTAGCTATGCTACATGTGGCACGGGTGGTTCAATAGCATTTCTTCACTTAGCTTGTGATGAACATACCCTTTCTGTGACTGGGAAGAGGAGCAGAACTGCGCACACAGGTCTCGGTACCATGCTGAGAAGCTCTGGGTCCAGTCCATACACGTCTCCAAACTGCCAGGTTGGTCTCATACCCAAACAACTGACAAACTAGATACAAGCTGAGAGTGAAATACCATGTACAACAAGATGTCCTGACAAATATCTGCCTGCTGAGCTGAACTGAATGTTGCCTCCTGATGAATACAATCACAAAAAAAAAGTGGCCACCAAAAAAGAAGGTCACACATATTTCGTTGGACCAACTTTAGCTTTGATTACGGCTGTGGCATTGTTTCAATGAGCTTCTGCAATGTCACAAGATTTATTTCCATCCAGTGTTGTGAAGGAAACTTTGTTAATGATTAACTCAATGTTGGATCCAGTATTGTATTTTTAGACTTTCTGATCATAGCAGCCTTAAGTTTAAAACAGAGAATGAGAGTTGGTGATGTGTGTTATCATGTTAAACAAGTTAGTTACGTTCTACGTCTGACGTAAAAGGTAACACCTCCAGGGGTGTAGCCAGGAACAGACGTACATTATAAGGTCTGTTCATCATTATATGAGTGGAAGTTTGAAAAGTTTTCAGTTGTGCGGAGAGTCTCTGCTTAGATTCAGCCTGGAACAGACTGGGATGCTTTGTTTTGGTTTTCTTATACAAGCTCAAGGCTTTTAACTCTGAAGCCTGTGCTGTGTACTACTTTATGGAGAATAATGATTTATAGAAGGTTTTCTATTATTTAAACTTCTATTTTTGTACGACCCTGATCTCTACATTAATTTTTCACGAAGATCTTGCACTGATGATGGTAGAGTCTGACCGCTGCACAAAGCCTTCTCCAGCACATCTCAAAGATTCTCAATGGACTCTGTCGAGTCAGTCCATGTGTGAAAATGATGTCTCATGCTCCCTGAACCACTCTTTCACAATTCCAGRCATGAATCCTGGCATTGTCATCTTGGAATATGCCTGTGTCATCAGGAAAGAAACAATCCATTGATGGAATAATCTGGTCATTCAGAATATTCAGGTCAGCTGACCTCATTCTTTGAGCACAGACTGCTGCTGAACCTAGACCTGACCAACTGCAGCAACCCCACATCATAGACCTTAGTTACATCCAGGTGGTCACTTTTTTGGCAAGGCAGTGTATAACTGATATTGTTACATTGTACAATACAAACAGTAGCAATCTAGAGCATCTTAAATCGACATTTTTGCACATAACTTACAATATAATGAATGGTATTTGTTACAAATGTTTTCTTTTAATGAATAATAAATCCAACAAAAGCTAAAGAATTCCAGCTTTGTAAAAACTATAGTATAAAAAAGTAATATTGCTTTTATTAGTTTTTTTCAGATGGCTGTGCACTTTTTTTAAATTCCTGCCAGTAAGCTATACAAAAATTACTTTCTCTTTTCAACGACCTACTGAGTTTACAATCAATGCTGTGGGCCTTGCAATTAGTCTGACTTCTGTAAAATACAGTAAAAATAAAGAACTTACCTTAGTCATGACCTAGAACAGAAAGACAAAAATAAAACACTGATTAAAATAGTGAAAATAGTTATAATTTGCGCAGGAATAACCAGCTGCAGCTTTTGTTCTCCTGGATGATGCTAACTACAAATTAGCATGCCTTCACATGCTTCAAAATTAATCCCATTAATAAAAACTTATATACAATAAAAGTGATGGTACATACTTCTGGATTTGACTCCAAAGGCAACCAGCGTGGAGAGTCCATTGTAAAGTACAGTTATATGTTGTGTTTCTGTAAAACAAGCGCTTAATCTGATTTACAGAAATCTGTTCAACAGCTGGGAATCGCTTCCGTGCCTGAGAACGACGCGCTGACGTAAAAGCATCACGCAGAGGGGTGACTTCTTCTTCTTCTTTTCGTTTGTTGGCGGACTACAAACAACTTTCAGGTGCGTACCGCCACCTACTGTACAAGAGTATGCAAGTCCGTAGCCTCCACAGTCTAAATTCTATTTTTTAATTTTGTACTATGTAAAAATTTAAATAACGCTTTCCTAATATCTCTTATTTCTTCTTCATTCCCTRCTGTTRCCAAAATTCCTACCAAACTCCATTGTCGCTCTGCCTCTCTTACTGTTTTCTTTAGCTTCTCTCTTTRAACTGTATATATTACACATTTCTTAAGAATATGTTCTACATTTTCTTTTTCTCCACAACCCTCACAGTTTTCGTTTGCCCTTTTTCCTAGTAAATATAAAAAGTCATTCAGCAGTGTATGACCTACTCTTAATCTTAACATACTCACTTCTTCTCTTCTGTTTCTTTCTCTAAGATTCTTCGTTACCACTGATTTTTGTATTTTGAATAGATTTCTTCCTTTCCTGTCTTCATTCCATCTATTTTGCCATATTTCTATTTCTTTCCTTTTGATTAATGATTTAGCCTCTCCTTTCCCAAAAGGGACCRGAACTGTTATTTCACTGRTTAAGGCTTTTTTAGCCAGTTTATCAGCAGCTTCATTTCCCTTTACCCCCTCATGTGCTGGCACCCAACAAAACTGTACATCTATACCACCTCTGTGCAACCTGAACAAACTGTGCTGAATTTCTAATAAGACCCTTTCTGTTGTTCCTTTATGCTGAATACTGTCTGTTACTGCCTTTGAGTCTGTGCACACCACTTCCTCAACCCATTGCAAACTGATGATTACTGCTGTCATTTCAGCTGTAAATACTGAAAGGTGATCTGAAAGTCATTTTGAAATGCATATTTGAAATTCTGGAATATACACCCCTATTCCCACACTCCAAGGGGGGCGGGGGTGACTTGATTGAACTATATATAGAGGAAGAACACTGATATATAGAGATTTACACAAAAGGTACAAAATAAATAACAAAATAGCATTTTTTTTAAAAAAAAATAGTATTAATACAATTACTGRCTTAAAAATTACAGATTTATTTTCATTTACCGAATTCCTCAACACTTGTTAGTGGACCAGTCCAGTGTTGTGGGCGTGGTTTAAATGTGTGCTAATCTTTTTCTACCGCTTGGTGTCGCTGTATATTTAGTTTGTTTCGCAAAAATCTCCCAAAACATATCTGACGTTGTCATAAGCCTTCCACGACGATAGGAGGCGGTATAAATCTGTCATTTAGGAAAATGCAAACATTTATTTTGCCCGGAAGTAAGTGGTRTGAGTCGCCGTTTTCTCTTCATAATAACACATTATTTTGACCAAGGTAAAAGGGACATAAAAAGATAAGGCTAAATTAAAACTGGCTACCTGACTGAAGATGCCAGCAGCAGAAGTCAGTTCAATCGGTGGGTTTATCTGCTTGATTCTTGTTGTAGTTTTGAACTCCTGCAAGTTGCCTGTTTACTTTTATATAATTGTGTTTATTTGTTGCATTTCCTGGTATTTTTTAATGTTGTTTAACGTTTTTGTCCAATTCCCAACATTTTAATACCTTACATTGCATCTGTGTCTTCTTGATGTAAGAACATAAAAACATAAAGTCTGTGCAAAGAAGTGTTTTTATTAATATGACTCCACTCGTTAGAGGTTGTTTTTTTTTTTTACACTGGCTGTAAATTCGTGTTGAATTMGACTGCTTCATTATTTCTGTGATTTAGGCGTCCGCAGTGTCGTGGAGAACATCTGCAGGCTTCCTCCAGATGTGTTCAGTAAAGCAGTGAGTATATTCAGCCTTCTCGGTTGCTTTAAAAGCAAGTTGGAGAAGAAATCAGCACCTAACTGTTAAGTTTAATATCAACAGAGTAATGTTTAATAAAGTGGATGTGCTACATGAGTTCTTTTTTTCTGCTTTTTAAACTTTCTTAAGTTTTATATAAGGGGGAAACATGCTGCCTGATATGTCACTTTTTAGGATTTCTGGTTTGATGAAGATAAAAAGAGCTAAGAGCTCATTAGCAGCCACCATTTGCACAATTCACACAGGATGTGGTGTTGCCGCTAATGCAGTTCTAACTCCTAATCTTGTTATCTTCAGTGTCAGCATGTTCTGACTTATCTTCAAGGGCAAACCAGTGGAGTGGATTCAGCTGAAATTTCTCATGTGAGTCAGGATTTCTTGTTTTTGTACTTCTTTGAACCACATCTTCCTACATCCTCCTMTTGCTGACCTCCTGCTTATCATCTGGGCAGAGATTTCAGGCAGCTGGAGTGGCACTTGATCATGAAGCGCTGCAGAACATTATCAGATTTCTTCTCCTTACATTCAGGCACGTGTTTGTTTATGTACACATGTTCATTCTTTTTATTAAGGCAGTTAAACAATCATATGATTTGATTTATGTTTCTAGGTCAGCTGGGAAGAACAATCTCTCCGCAGARGGACTTTTGTTGAAGCTGGAAGAAGGCAGTAACAAGTGGTCCAAAGCTTCTCTTCAGGTGCTGCACGGGTTGTGGAGCGAACACGGCACGCTCGTCCACGCTCAGCAGGAGGCTCAGTCCGCGCTCAGCATCGGTCAGGTACGTCTTTGTAAAATTTGCATGTATTTTTGGGATAAACCGAACTCCTGTCTTGTTTTTGCTGCAGGTTGTGGATGTGCAGTGGAAGCTGGGGATGGCAGTGAGCTCAGACACATGTCGGTCCCTGAACTCACCGTACGTAACCCTGCTGCTGAAGACCACCGACCCCTCTGGACAGATTAGCCGCAGATCGTTCGAGATGACCATTCCACAGTTCCAGGTCCAATTGTTGACACGAGCTTTGGTGTAAATTTAATTCTGGCTCAGTTTTTAATGTTTGSTTTTGTCTCTGTCCCTGCAGAATTTTCACAAGCAGTTCAAGGACATGGCAGCGATTATGGAGACTGTATGATTGTTACGGTTTAGGACGGTTTATGAGTTTAATGGAAGGGACAGCTTGGCGTGTGCGTTTGTTTGCAGCGGCAGTCTCAAAATATCTAAATATCACTCTCAGCTTGTAGTTTTCCACAGATTACTTAAACATTTTTACATGAAAAACAGTAAAAACAGGAACACAAATTTTTGCCTCTCTTAACCAGTCCAGGTCTTTAATTTCAGGGTTATGTATTATTCTKATCAGGCAGCAAAAGCCACATTTATTGCCTTAATTTAGCTAGTTGTTCTAAAAAGTTAGATTTATTAGAACAACTTGTATTAAATTCTATTTTACAGATTAAAAAATATGTACACTGAATACTTACTGTTTTTATTTACACAAAAAATGTTACAAACCCCATAGTACAACATGTAGTTTTTCAATACATAATTTTTTGGCAAAGTTAAAATGATTTATGGGCCTTTTTAGCCGAGCGTAACAGTTTGATCACATAATCAGTTTTTTTTCTTTCAGTTCATTTCATTCATAAAACTAGTCTATGTTTAGAATAAAATAATAAAAATCCATTTTTTTGCACTTTAATGATAATAATGATTTCCACCATTAAAATCGTCAGAATATATTGTTGCTACAATCAGACTTCACAATAAAATAACAGCTGTTTGCATTATTTTTTGGCTTTTAAATGTAATAAAATCACTTTTTAATCGTGACCTATTGCTCGTGTTTAGCCCTCGTATGTTCCTGATTAAAACTATTGCACGATAGATGGGAGTGTGGCTAATTATTGTGGGTGAGTCACCTCTTAATTTCTGCACAGCATAGCTAAACACGGTTCAGGTTTTCCCAGTCAAGTTTAATAGAATGCATGTAATTAAATGTAGCCGTTTTCTTTATTGCTTTATTTGATTAATGARGCAAATGTCGGCATGGAGGATAAAGGTGTGTTGCATTTAATTTTGCCAAGATGTTTTGCTTAATAAAATGAAACATTTGATCAGTTTTTAGACTGGAATAGAGGATGTTTCTGTCTTTTTCTTTTTTTTTTAGCTCGTTCGGGCAATCTCACCTCTTTAAGAAAGCCTATTGCTGCCACAATTAAACCACTCATTTCATCCATATCCATGTTTGCTAGTTGGCCCCAAGCCACCGCCTGTTCTGATGTTATGCAATCCCTGGTCAAACTGGATTTGATTCTCCAACCAGGCTAGGAGTCGTCCCTGCTTTTGTATTTTACCACCAGGACAGTGACAGTCTTGAATTTTTCTTGTTTAAACATGTTTTTTGTCTTCATTTTGCAACAAAAGAGTGTTTGTTCTACGTGTCAGTTTGTAGTTTGGTGTATGTAGTTGCCATTCACACAGTAAGCTGGTGGTAAAAACGTAGTTTCAAGTCTATAATGCAGCTCAAGAAGAAGAACTCAGTGGTTCTCTATATGCAGTTGCTGCATCTTTGTCTGCCCTCTAAGTGGAGCCAAGATGCAACTCATGCACATGTAATGCTGACACATTTATGCTTAAAAGGCACGTGGAAAATTACAAATAAGTGAGCCATCACATTCAAATGAAGATGAAATCAAATTTGGTCAAAATGACCTGAGCACATTTTTTTAGATTCCTGCTTTTTAAACTACATTTTGACACCTGGTTCATCCTGAGCGGTTTCCAGTTTTCTAATCAGGAGATCTCATTGATGTTTTTTAGGTCATTCTAATGAGGAACTTTTGATCTCACTCAATATTTGGATGTTAAGGTTTACTAGTTGGAAAGAAAAAAAGTTGTGCTAGCTCGCAGAGAAAATGACCAAAAWGTTGTGCTTTTCTGCTCAAAGCATGTTTTTAGTAGCTATMCTTAAAAAAGTGCTTCAAAAAATCTTTAAGAATATATTTTASAAATTGTATRTAAACCTGTAGATAAGGCAATTATAATATTTTGAGAAAATGCATACATTTTATTRAATGCACTGCCTATTTTACCTTAAGAATATATTTGTGACCATCACATCAAACGTTTTGACTTATTGCCAAGGTCATATCTGCCGACTAAAGACACTGAAAAAGTGATCCATGCTTGCATTACCTCTTYGCTGGATTATTGTGATGCTTTATAAATTGAAATCAAGATTTAAAAAATCCAATCAAACCAACACAAGTATCCTCACAGGTTTAACAGGAGGTGTTGTTTCTACTCAGAGCAGCGAGGTTTTCAAACCGCAGGTTTTAAATCAGACGTGACGGCCCCATAATCTGTGAAACGTTTCCCATAATAAGAGCTATCTAAATGCTTGATCATTTTAAATCAAAGCTGACACCCAGRATCCCCGCCCCCTCCTTAATTGGCTTTTTTAGTTCTTCATTTTTTTGGTTGAACTAAGAGCAGTAAATCCTGACTCTAGCAGAACCACAGCTTTATTATCAGCCATCAATAGCATTTAATGAAACTCATGAAATGTAATCATTGCGTGCATCTGCAACTAGTTAACTTTTGGAGTCAGCACAATTTAAGATTTCTGCTTCAACCAATTGACTTTAGAAAACAATACTGGTTAGCACTTAGTAAATCTGAAATATACTGAGTTAAAATGTGTTGTAGTAGCTGAGAGGCTTTCCAATTACAACTTTAGAGCATTATGCATTATGTAAAATCACTTTAAAACAGGCCTTAACTGTTGGAGTCGACTTTTTTTTTGTTTCAGCAGATGAACCACTGGATTTGTTTGCTTATCTGAGTGGGAAAATACAGTTATAAGCACATTTCAAAACTCAGATCTTCAAGTAAAATCCCAAACCATCGTATAAAACGGAGGCCTGGAACCTGTCTGTTATTCGTGTTGTTTACAGTAAATAAACAGCAGCTCTGTGAGAGTTTGTAGCCTGCAGAGCTCTGATATCTGCTGCCTCAGTCATGGAGTTAAATATGGCAAAATGTTTCTATTTCTGGACAGGAGGTGTTCTAGGAATCACAGCAGATGGGAAGTTCCCTGGAGCACAAAGCTGCTGTGCAACTCTGTGAARCAGCACGAGCTGCTTGTAAACACCGAGCTACCTTCACGAGCCTTTTTTGACACAGCTGCAGCAGCTGGATCACCACCAGAAAAAAAGGCACGAGAAGCTGCAGCCTGGGACCACTTCTGTTTACCAGCTTCTCGGTGGAGGAGGGCGGAGCTTGTCGTTAACCCCGCCCGACCGCCTCGTCCTCCTGCAGCACATGGGATGGGACAGCCGCTCCGCCTCCAAGCCTTTTTTTTTTTTTTTTTTTTGAAGAAAGGATCAGAGAAACGACTCCTGGAAGTCGTGCACCAGCGCATGGGTTTTATTGGAGCTAAAACGAACCAGGCTGCTTTCAGCATCATCTGCTGGCTTCGGGAGCTGGACGGGGTCGCTGCTGCGCCGCGGAGCGACGTGCAGCGCGTCAGGAAAATCAGGTTTCCTCTCAGCGACTTGTGTTTACACAGGAACCATCCGAAGCCACGTTTCAGCAGGCAGGTCGGGACTGGAGTCCTTCTGTGCGGGCTTTGAATACCTGCCTGTGCACGCTGGAAATCAGGGAGTCCACCCGCTGCAGGGTGAACACGTGGAGCTTTAAAGTTCTGGATGTGGGCATGGAGGGCACGGGCAAGTGTTGGAAACTCATCTGAAGTGGGCCTGAAAAGTAGTGTTTCGTCCCCCTCCTCTGCTCTGGTGTTGAGTTTTGAAACCAGACAATAATAAAAGTCTGCTGGGTGAACATGCAGAGCCAGGAGCGCACAGACCGGAGCTTCCCCCTGACTTACATCGGTTGGTGCTCGCTCGACAGGCGGACCACTCTGCCCATGCTGCCGTGGCTGGTGGCCGAGATCCGCCGGAGGGGCGAGAGGGGCGACTGCGGCCCCGTCCTGCAGCCCAGAGGAGTCCAGCTGCTGCTCAGCGCCCCCTTCCTCCGCTGCGTGCCCGCCGGCTGCAGCAACGCGTCGGTGTTCATCTTCGAGCACAAGGCGCAGCTCGTCTCGCGCTTCATCCACAACAGCAACGACCCGAGCTACTTCGCCTACCTGCTGAGGGGTCAGCCGGATAACCCGGAGTCAGAGATGTCCTGTCACGTGTTCAGGGCRGGAGACCCCAACCAGGTATGGAGCCGAGCTGTCACCACAAGCACTAACGCGAAAAACAGAGGCGCATCTAAAAACATTTAAGTGAGGGGGTCATGGGGGGGCTACTAAAAATCCTGGGGTGGCACACCAAAAACCAGAACTGAATTTCAGTTTTATTTTGTTGATATTTATAGGTTATTTGAGAAATACATGAGTACAGGAGTTAACAGTGTACTACAATAAACAATATATCCAGGTCAACTTTAGATTTTCTTAGTTGTATTATCCATTATTTTATGGATAAATGCTTTGAAGTCAGCATTTTGCAATGAACTGTGGTCTAGATCAGGGTTTTTAACCTTTTCGACCTTGGGGCCCAACTTGWTGAATCTAAAGTYGTACCAGGCCCATTCAGATAATAATGCACTGATCAAAGTGATAATTTATCTAAATCTTGGTTTAATTTGTATTGTATTTGCATTATAACTAAATGAAACACACTTACAGTTTAACAAGCAAATACCTTGCCAGATAAAT